GTGCCCGCGGCGGGGACGGGGCTGAGGGAGCCGTGCGTGTCCGTGTCCGTGTGTGGGGGGCGCTGCCCCGCTCACCTGGGCCCTGCGGCCCTCGCCGGTGCCGGCCCGGGGGCTGGCTGTGTCCGCGCCGCCCGCGACTCTGCTCCTAGTCCTGGTGCGGGAGCGGTGCCAGCCGGCGGGAAGGACGGGCGGAAACCCCCCGGCGCTCGCCGGTTTCCCCTCAGGATGTCCCCCCGCGTTGTGTCGCCGTCGCTGTCGGAGGGTTTTGGGGGGATGGAGCAGCGAGGCGCACGTAGGGGAAGCCGGGAGCGATGCCTGTCGCGTTTCGACAAACGGGCAAAAAAAGCCCGGGCCTTGGCATCTTTTGGGAGCTGCCCTCGCCCTCATCGAGGGGCGCCGCCGCGTCCTTTTGGGGCCCCTGGCCGGCCCCCCTGGTCATCTCGCCCGCAACCCATTCACGGCCGTCAACATCCTGGTATTCGGGTTTGCGTCCCCAGTGTTTGAGGTACCTGCTGTTCTCGCTCGAGCAGTGTGGTAATGCAGTAACCGCTGTGCCGACAGCCAAGTCTCTCTGCTGGAAAGTGAATTGTGCCTACGTTTATATATTTTACTTTAGCAAGGGGTATAAAAATAAAGAAAGAAATAAAAAAAAAAAAAGGTGGGGGGGAAAAACTAAAGGGGGGAGGAAATGACAGCACTCAGGTGGGGAGGATGCAGTTGAAAGTCACTTCGGCTAATGCCTCGTACAAGAATACGCATGTTAAAAAATGTGGACGATGCGTAAGGCAGCAATCTTCAGAGAACCACTTTTTAAACAAATATTTGACAAAAGAACAGACCCGTTAAATGGATAACAATTATGTAAGCACATGGTAGGGTTTGACGTATGTCAAGTCTGTTAAATAAATCAACCTGTTCAGTGAATAAATCTGCTATGCACCAATGCTTTATTTATTTATTTTTTTTAAGGGAATAAGCCTGGCGGTGCATTTAGGATCTCTGTTGTGTGTATGCATCTTATGCCAAACCCCATAACCTCTACTGAAAAGAGAGAAGTCTTGAAGGGGGGTGTGTGCTTGCATGCCTGTGTGTCAGAGCGGGGGCGGCCAGCTCAGCAAATGATAAGATGGATATTAAAAATACACAAAGATGTGCTTAAGGAGTCCTAGTGATAAAATTCTCGCTGATCCATGTCTTGATTGAGTATTTGCTTTGCAGTGGCAATGGCCCATACAAAGCTACATTGATTTAGCTTTCTCTGTTCGTGATGGCAGTTCTTGTGAATAATTATTTTCCCAAAAGCTCTAACTAAGGGAAGAAAGAGAGTCCCTAGTTGGCCTACACAGTAGTACAGTATCTTTCAAATGGTGTATCCGGCTGAAAATAAAGAGAGCTAGTTCAAGTGTTACTACACTCAACAGAAATAAAAGGAGGACAGAGAAGGGGAGCAGACCAGTCAGCTTCACCATTCATTCTTTTCCTCCAACCTAAGTGGCTTCCATCCCTGAACCTCACCAGGTTGTGTTTTGTTGCCTTTTTGTAGCTCTGCTGGTGTGCTTAATTTATTGAGTTCAAGATTGGGAGCTGTCTATTCAGATTTAAAGAAAAAGATTTTGACCAATAGGCTTTATTTATTTTTTTTACAAATTGGCACAAAGCAGACACTGTCATAGACCGGTGTATAAACATAAGGTAGTACTTTCTATAGACCGGTGTATAAACATAAGGCAGTACTTTCTACTTCATCTATCTAAGGATATATACTCTGCTCCCAAGATAACAACTCCTAATAGATACTTGTGTGGAAACTGCATGCCTGTGTGCATGTGTTACTTTTGAAACAAGTCTGTATAGAAACCTAAGCAAAGTTTTGTGTGGGTGGGTACCCATCCAAAACGAATCAGGCAGGATCTGGACACAAGGAATTCTCCCAGCAAGGAAACTGGCAATAGGATGGTCTTTCATAGGAGACTGTGGACTGATCCCAGATCCAGCTATTTTTAGGAAATGCTGAAAAACCTTCTTCTGTGTAAACACCTTTCCACCAGGATGAGAATGACATTTTTAGTGCTGACACCTACCCTCTACACCAGGGGTCAGCAACCCCCGGCACGCGTGTCGAGCACGGCACGCAAGGCTGTTTTGCTCAGCACACCACCGCCAGCCTGGGCTCTAGGCAGCTGCTGCCAGCCATGAAGCCCAGGCTGCTTCCATCAGGTGGCTGGGAGGCTGCAAGCCCTGCTGCAAGCAGACTGGGCTCCGTGGGCCGGCTACAGCCGGGAGGCTGTAAACAGCTGCTCCGGGCTCTGGTAAGTCAGCACTCCAGCACCTTCCAAAGTAGACAGTGTGGTTTTTTTGGCACTCTGGCCAAAAAACATTGCCTACCCCTGCTCTACACTCCCTATAACCAGTCAAAACAAACCTCAGGACCAAACAAGCAACAAATGGCCCCTTGCCTCCTCCCCCGCAAAGATCCTACACTCTCAAGAAGGACAACAGAATAGATCCTGAGGAGACAAGTCAACCAACCACCAGTTCTGGCCCCTTTCCAGGCAGAATCCCTGTATGCCAAAAAAGAAGAGCTAGGGGTTCCATGAAGCACATTAGGATTGTGTTATCATTATCTCCCATCTAATTTATATGGAAAGTGCTCGGGTATTGCAGTTGCTGGCAGCACTATGAAACCTTAAGGTCAGTAGGTAGGTAATCTGCATGCAAAATGCAGTAAAGTTGCCTTTGCTGCTTAGTAATGACAATTTCCAGTCTGAGGGGATTATCACAGAATATTTGGAGAATCAGAACTGAAAGTTTAATAGCCCTGAAACAGTAAAGCTGTTATGTTCAAGATTGTGTTCTTTGGAAAAAGATTCTGCTTTTATCCCAGCTTGGGGTTGGTTTTGTAATCATTACCAGTCTAGGTAGTTAGCTGCTTGACTGTCTTGATTTTGGGGAACTGGCCAGCAGTGAATAAGTGAGCCATACTATGTAAAAGTAAGCAAACTGTTTCACCTGCACATTGTCCTATCTATATGCTCTTGTTGTGTCTCATCATTCAAGGACTGCAA